CTCATTTCTACACCCTTCACCTTTGCCCTCTGGGTTCTTGTAATTGCATAACAAACGTTGCTGAGCTAGCTCATAGCCTCTCTCTAGTTCTAGGCATTTGAAGATGAATTTAAAAATTCTTGGATTTTGAAGAACTCACAGCTTATGGGAGAGGCAGACATTAGAGGTGATTTCTTATAGCTCAAAGCTGTACACAGAGTGCTGGGTGTCCCAGGGGGGCCCAGGGAGCTCCGTGAAAGTCAGGGCAGGAATTGCTCTGCCCCAGGGCTGTGAAGTCCACCCTTGCACACTTGGCCGGGAGGACCAGTAGCTGGGAGAGATCAGCGGCCGGGAGAGATGATCCACATTGAGCGGCTGGATTCATTGGGCTCTTGGTTAGGGGTTTCACACGTAATCCTTTTCACTGTAAATATTGATTGAACTCTTGAAAATCAAATGGGCAAACCTTGATTTGAGGCTTCTATGACCTCTGGGCTTGGTTTCAGGGCTCAGTCGTGCCCACTCCTTTCCTACTGCAGGACCTCTGCCCTGAGTTCCCTGGGACCAAAATGTCCTTCCCACCTCCCTTCACTTGGGCACTGCCACTCAGGCCCCCCCTTAGGGGCCTCCCTCAGAGAGAGCGCTCCTGGTCCGCCGACCTGAGCACCTGGCCTGTCCTGCCAACACTCTGCACACCTGGTGGCCAGACTTGTGTGTGTTCGGGAGACTAAGCAAGCCCTCGGGGAGGAGGGCAGGGTGGGGCCCTCCACACGGGGCCTGGCCCACAGCAAGGCACCGCAGGGAGGCCTGGGGGCTGTCTGCCACCCATTTCTCCAGATGCCATTGAACCTCTCCCCTCCGTCCCGCCTTATCCTATCCTCACTGGGGGCTTCTCTGCTAGGCTAGAGACAGAGACCCAGGATGGCCAGGAGAATCATGCCTGCAGCCGCTTCCATTGTCCATGGGTGACGTGGCTTGGCAAGGCCTTGCTGGCCGGGATCCAGGAACTCTAGGAGGTGGGCAGTGCTGGTCCCTGTTCACCTGGGGGATCAGTTTCCTTGCCCCTGCTTGCTTTTCCTCAGAAATACAAGGTGACACAACAAAACCCCAAACCCCCTCATCAATAAACCAGCCAGATGTGTGCGCGCACACACACACACACACACCTCTCTTTCTGACTCTGTGGAGAGAATTTTCCTCGTCATTCTGTGACACTAGAAGGCTCAGTGCTTCATAAGCACCCATGAACTGTCTCTAATCAGTCCCCAGGCCCTCAGGATATATATACTCTTGGCAGAGGAAATTCAAAAAAGCCCTTTCCTCCAGGAAGCCTTCCATGCGTTCCCCCGGCCGTGTTAGGGGGCTCCCTCCCCACCAGATCGTGAACTGTAAAGGCCTCACTGCTGTCTGTGTGCCTGAAACATGGCCCAGAGCCCACGGCAGGCGTGTGTCAGTGTTGCCTAGTGGGATGGCCACATGGGGGACTGTTGACTACAAGGGGCTTTGGTGTCACTTGATACTCAGGACCTCCAGTCCTGGAACCTCTCCTCTTCGCTCGGATTAAATTTGAGTGTCAACAAAAGAACATGGAACCTGAGACGACCAGCAGTGTGTTCCTTCTGTGTGGCCTTGGACAAGCTTCCTAACCTTTCTGGGTCTCGACATCCCCATCTGTGATACGACCACAATAATGCCCCCCTCCGGGAGCTATGGGGAAGGGGAGAGCCCATGTATGCGGAAGCACTGGTAGGGCCTGGCAGGCCCTCAAAAGCATGACTTCTCGCTTGCATTTCTTTGTCGGGGGTCCTCCCGAACCCCCATAGGGCTCAGCATGGGACTTGTGGGGTTGGGCCCTCTAAGCTGGGCTGGGATGGGCTCTCATCTGGCAGGTACCCCTCTCCACATGGTCACCATCTATTCTGGGGTCTCCAGGTTAAAGCCCCCCAGAAGGAAGGCTCCTTTTCAGTACCTGCTGGGAGCCCCAGAACACAGAGTTCCTTAAGGGAAACCAGTTAGGGGAGCTGGGGCAGCGAGGGATGGGCTCTGGGAGGGAGGTCAGCTTAGCTCAGACCTTGCTATTGGCGCCATCTGCTGGTTGGAAGCCTCCTAGGCCTCAGTCCAGGGGAGAAGGTAGAGGGAGTGTGTGGGGGGCCTGAGAACTCCTGAGTCTGATGTGAGCCCCTTGAATCCTTGCTGCCTTGCCCAGCGTTGACACCACAAGGGATGTGACTGTGGATTCTTCCTGAGGATGAATTCTCTGTGTGTGTGTGCACGCAGGGAAGCAGAGGGGTGCCATGTGCTTTCTGCCCTCAAGAGTGGACGGTTTAGTTGGGGAAATGTATCGACTCTTCCATGCATTCTATGGGCAGAGGCTTAGTGAACAGCTACCATGTGCCCGGCTTTGTGCAGGGCTCGAAGGAAGCAAGGGTGCATGACACGACCCCTGTGCTCACCAGCTTACCGCCCATGGGGCCGCAGACACGAACATGGTAATTGTAGTTCAGTGTGATCAACACCATAATGATGGCACCACACATTCCTGCACACCCCCCTCCAGTCACTGGGTCACTCAACACACCTCTAGTCGGCTCTCCCTGGGTGCCAAGTGTTACACTAGGTGCTGGGCCGGCAGTGGGGGATACCACAGGGAAACAAAGCCGACCTGCCTGTGGGAGCACACAGGGAGGCTGGCCATGTCTGCTGGGACTGGGGAGGGCTTCTCCGGGAGCTGGTGTGGGAAGAATAACAGGTGTGTGAAGACGAGCAGGAATAGAGCAGCGAGGAAGGGCACCAAAGCAAATACAAAGGCCAAGAGCGGTGCTCACGGGCTTGTGTCTGGGGCATGGGGAGAATTGCGGTGAGCTGGTGCAGGGTGCAGACACGAGGTACGAGGAGATGGCGGCTGGAACAGATCACAATGAGGTCATGGGCAACTAGATCAAGGAGGGACCCGAATGCCTGGCTAAAGTCTCAGGCTTTTGGCTGGAGTCTGCTGCCTTCATTCATTGAAGGACTTTAGCAGAATGATCAGGACAGATTTGTGTTTTAGAAACATCACACTGTGTCAAGTCTAGTCTTTACAACGTACTGTCCATGTGACTCTGGGCGTTCACTTTCTGAGCCTTGGTTTTCTCTGCTGTGAAATGCCATTCCTACTACTAGATACCCCCACCCACCAAGGTTCTGGGAAGAAGCACCAAATGAGATCATGGCTAGGGTTTCTAACTTATCTAGCCAGTCCATTCCATTGCAGACCATAGCTGTGGTAACCGCTAGGGGCCAATCTTGAGCTAGATTTCAGTTTCTGTGGCTGATCTTTTGTCTTCCCCACAGGGGTTGGTATCATGAGCTCC